AAAATTTACCACTGGAAGTGATTTGCATATTTCCAAACCAAAGTACACAGAAGAAAACGATATTTTTCATGTCTTGTCAGGTTTCTGCATGAAGTGCAAAGCCTTAAACCACTATTCATTTCCTGCTATATAAACTGCTATTCACTTTCTTGGTAATAGCTTCCACCTGCTGCTTTTCCGGCTTGGGCTGTGAAAACATCTTTATGCAACGCCATTGTCAGTCGTGGTTTGCATGAGATAATGCACTACCTGTAAATTAATTTGTAGCTGCACAAAGAATTTTCCATGCGCATAAACAGCTACAGTACACACTGACAACCATGTATCGTTCTCGCATCCCAATTTGGTTTATTTCAGTTCACAAAATCCAGGATAATGTGCCATTCATACACAAGTCAGAATTTAATATTCACATATTGACCTTAAAATTGTTGGATTGAGTTGCTTTACCAGATCCCGTCAGAGGATTCATTACTGATCGACTGTTTCTTCTTATGAGACTAAATATAGTCAGTATCTCCTCCTAGAGTGTTCAGGCTACAACCACTAAACCTGGCTCAGACCTGCAGACTGGTCTGACTCTGATTGCTGTATTTTTTTCTCACTAATCTGATTTACTGTTTTCGTAAACCAAATGATCAAAACTAGGGAAAAAAAAGGGGGTGTCAAAACTTTTGTACAGTAACACGTACTAGCAACATGTTAAAAGATGCCTACGATGTACTAAATCATGTTAGCAACGTTAAATGATGCTAGCAACATGCTAATTCATGCTAACAATGTTTATAATGATAACAACATGCTAATTCATGTTTGCAATGTTCTTATAATGCTAGCAACGTGTTAAATTATGCTAGCAGCATGATAAAACATGTTAACAATGTGCTGAATCATGCAAGCAACGTTAAAACATAGCAGTCTGTTAAATCATGTTAGCAACATGCTAAAACATGATCACAACATGCTAATTAATGCTAGCAGTGTGCTAACAACATGCTGCTAGCAGCATGATAAAACATGCTAGCATAATTTAACATGTTTGCTAGCAGCATGCATGTTAGCAATGTGCTGAATCATGCTAGCAATGTAAAAACATGCTAGCAGCATGATAAAACATGCTAGCAACGTGTTAAATTATGCTAGCAGCATGATAAAACATGTTAGCAATGTGCTGAATCATGTTAGCAACGTTAAAACATGCTAGCAGTCTGTTAAATCATGTTAGCAACATGATCACAACATATTAATTCATGCTAGCAGTGTGCTAACAACATAGCAGCATGATAAAACATGTTAGCAATGTGCTGAATCATGCTAGCAAAGTTAAAACATGCTAGCAACATGCTAAATCATGTTAGCAACATTGTTAAAACAAAGTTATTTCACCTCCTACCTACACTATCAGCACACCAAACATAAAGTGTGAATAAAGTGTGGAAAAACTCAAAATGCTCAAAAATGGAACCAAATAAGTTGAAAAATAATGGTTATTTCTTACTGGGCACCAATGTAAGGTAGCTAAAGCCTTCTCGCTAAATGTGGCTAGATCACATCATATCGATGAGTATCAGAAACTAGATAAGGTTTCCCTGTTGAAAAAAACCAGCATATGCTGGTTAGGTATGTTTTGGCTGGGATGCTGGTTTAAGCTGGTCCTTTGCTGGTTTATGCTGGTCCTTTGCTGGTTTAAGCGCAGTGTTGTCCAAGAAGTCACCAGTTTTGTAGCTAAAATCGTTAAATTGGCAACTCTGCTAGGCACCTCATAAACCAGTTGTGCTCAATCCTGTTCTTGGAGATCTACCTTCCTGCAAAGTTCAGCTCCATCCCTTATCTAACACATCTGAAGCAACTAATTAAGATCTTCGGGAGCACTTGATAATTACAGTGTGTTGTTGGAGCACTGGAGAACAAGATGGGGCGCCCCTGAGGTGCCTTAATGCAAGAAATTTATTTTTAAAATATTAAATATATATTAAATATTTTTCCACTTACTAGATTACACTTCTCTAAAGGCCTCTGAAGTGAAATATCACATTTCTGTAAATTACAACAGTATGAGGTGTGCATATGGGATGTCCCCCATTAGAACAGGCCATTCATTTCTTCTATTCATTACAAGTCTGTATAGGCCTATGAAGTGGAATAATGTCATGCATCATAAAGTATTAGTGTTTAATGTTCAGTTATGCTACTGTGGTTACCATTGTGCTGAAGAGTAGAGCTCGTGGTTGGCTGCATGCGTTATGTTTGTGTATTTTGCTCCACTCAGTGAGCAATTGCTGTATTGCAGTGACAATAACTCCTAATTTGCTATGCAAGCTAAAGAATGTTTTAAATGTACAATAACAACCAAGAGTCCAAATTACTCACTTTTTCTGAGCAATTAGTTGTGCAATATATTGACAAATGTTTGGAATACTTTCCTTTAGTGTGTCATAGCTGTTAAATACAAACCTTTTACTCAACACACAGCATGATGTCTGCCGATTGAGCAGATTCTATAGGTGTTTTTACAGAAATAAGGTTTTTAAGATGGAGTAAAGTCACATTATCTCAAAAACGCTTCAATAAAATGGTTTCATATTAAGTATGCATATAGTATTGAATGTCCCCTATAAGAATTGACCATTCAATTTTTTTTAATTATTATTACTTATTAAAATCAAGGTCTCTATGGGCTTCTGGAGTGTAGTAATGGCATATTTCTCAAGAATGCTGCAGTAATTAAGTAACCTTACATATTAACCAAGTGTGTCGAGGTGTTGGAGGTCCTAGATATGAGATAATGATCTTATTTCTACGCATTGTAACTTCTTAAATATAATTATTACATGTTGCTTGGCAAAATGATTCACTGTTTAGGAGAGAGCGTGGTGGGCAAAACGGTGTAAATGCAACCAAAACAACCATGCATTTAAAAAAATTGCACATGCTTTATTAAATGCAATTAACAAATCATCTAATACCATTAAATATGAAGTGTCTGCATAATAGTTTTATCAAATTGTAGGGCTTGTTTTATAGAGAGCTTGATTAATCAGGCCAATAAGCAGTGTTGGGCAGTAACTAGTTTACTATTTGCAGTAACTAGTAGTGTAACTAATTACTAGTAAGATTTCAGTAATAATATTACAGTTACCATCCATAAAACAGCTAGTTACTTTTGATGCCTCAGCCCCGCTGATTTAAAATCCAACAATCCAATAATTCCTAGATTTATTTTCATAATTTTCATGACTTGAACAGGCACATGAAGTCACCAGTGCACCAGGAAAGATTGGAATATGAAAAGCTTATGGAAATATTACTATTACACTGATTTTGTCAGGAGAAAAGCTGATCTGAACACTGATGTGCAAGTTGTGGCATTACTTTACTCTGGTATTAAATGACTTTCCCAGCCACATCCCTCTGATCCCGATATAAATTATATTACTATCATTAAAAATCTTATGCACTTATGTGATTTATTTTGATAAAATACTTCATGAAATATAATCATATTTGGGAAACAGAGAAATTATAGCTACAATTAGCTTCAAGCTACATGACAATTAATACAACACTTGTACTTAAAAGTCACTATCAGTCACTATTGAGTGTTTGTAAAACTTCTGACTGCGATCCAATGTGGACTTTGGTCAAATGTTGAGGCAGAAATATATTGTTAGTAACATTTTAGAAGATTTTTTATGGGGAAGAAACACAATTACAGCTTCTGTGGGGTGTGAAGGAAAGTAATGTAACTAGTAGTGTAACTAATTACTGTTGCAAGAAAGTAATAAGTAAAGAAATAATATTACTTTTGAAAGGAGTAACTACTAACGAGTAATAAATTACATTTTTGGAGTAGCGAGCACAACACTTCCAATAAGAGACTAAAAACTTCTACATTATTTTACTACCAGTCAAAAGTTTTTGAACAGTAAGATTTTTAATGTCTTTTAAAGAAGTCTCTTCTGCTCATCAAGCCTGCATTTATTTGATCAGAAATACAGCAAAAGCAGTAATGTTGTGAAATATTTTTACTATTTAAAACAGCTGTTTTCTATTTGAATATATTTTAAAATGTAATTTCTGAACTTTCTATTCATCAAAGAAACCTGGAAAAATTCCACTCAGCTGTTTTCAACATAATAAATATTTATTGAGCAGCAAATCAGTATATTAGAATGATTTCTGAAGATCATGTGACACTGAAGACTGCAGTAATGATGTTGAAAATTCAGCTGCGCATCACAGAAATACATAACTGTTTTCTATGTGAATGTCTGTTAAACTGTAATTTTAAACAGTAAAAATATTTCAAAATTTTACTGTTTTTGCTGCATTTCTGATCAAATAAATGCAGGCTTGATGAGCAGAAGAGACTTTAAAAAACATAAAAAATCTTATTGTTCAAAAACTTTTGACTGGTAGTGCTATTGTTTTTTAGGTTGAAATGTTGATTTCATGTTTGAAATAGAATATTTGTACCACTGGACGCAAGTAGTAAATTCCATAATATAATCTGTCGGTTGTAACAGTGTGGATCAGACAGGTTTCAGCACAATGAGACTAAAACCAGAGTTTCCACTTCCTTTCCAGACAGTAATAGTCTCTATATCAGATCAGTTGTTTATTGCATCAAACTTCTGTGTTGAAATGAATATCCTCATGTTTTCCCGATGTAGGTTATACTGTATGTGGTCTATATTAGCTTGCAAGTAGATGCAATTGTAGATTTTTGAGTCCATAAATAAATATCCCAGGTTCCTTACAAGTTAAGGTGTGAACAGCTTCAGGAATCTGCTTTTGAATAATAAATCATTTTGACCAGATTACTAAAAATCTTTTCTTTTTTTTTTTTACAAAAATGTACTATTTAAAACAAATCAAGTCTATTCCTGGTTTATATGAGTTAAGAGAGTATGTAGAAAATGGATGTGAAATTTAAAAAGCAGCAAGTTTGTTACTGCTCCTGTTTTTAATTCAACAATTCAATAGCAACAGTTTTCAAGCTCAAACATACATGATAGTGCAGACATACATAGAATTACACAGTAAAGATGAAATAACACCAATATAAAAACAGAAAAATAAATTATGCACTATATAGAGAAATAGAAAGCATACAATTTTTACAATGCAGTTTACAAATGTACAATTTTTGAATTATGTATAAATGTCAGTTATGACTTTATTATAAAGATACTTTAATATAGAGACTTAGCCAATGTCTTTATTCAAAAACAACAGCAACGGCTTCTCTCACAGCCAATGTGAGCAAACATGTTAATATCATTAGACCAGCAGGACTAATGTGTCTGGCTGTATCTTTAGACATGATACATATTTTAAAAATATTTTCAAAATTGATCCATTTAATGGACAAAAATTACTAAACGTGCTGCTTTTAGATTTTTAAAGTTAAATAACAACAAAACTACAATGTGACCAAATTCCATATTAAAGTACATCATTAAAATTGAAACAATTATGAAATTTAAGTCAGAGCTTTAATACAAAGTATATTTACCCACACAAGGAACTTCAAATTGGAGTGACCAGTAGGTGGAGACATTTAATCAACTGATTCAGTCAGGAATGATATGTTGACAGGATCCTCTGCAGATCTGATGGCACTGAAGGCAAACTACCAAGTAACCATTGCTGTCGTTAGGTGATCTGGGCCCCTGTACGGTTTACTGCATTGGGACCCTCTAGGTAGGAATCATGTTCCTTGTTCTTTTTCCGATATTGATGTATCATGAAGACAATAAATACTATAATCAGAACCCCCACAACACCAATCACACTCCAGGGGCAAACATCTGGAAGGGGAACGTGGGAAGAAAGCACAATTTTTATTTTTTTAACTCACTGCTTAAAGATTTCGTAAAGCTCTCAATGCCTCCTGTTTTACTTACGAGCTCGTTCAGTGCCATCAGTTTTGTCATCACGTGTGCGGTCCTGTTTGTCCTTTGATGCTGTGCCTGATTCTGTACAGGATATTAAAAGGTTAATAACACAGTTTAGTATTCATTTGCTGTTCAAATCATTATAATTGAACCTCACCTGTCCACTTTATAATTAATATTTCTAAACATCCATCAATTTTCTCTCACCCGTTGTGACCGTCACGGTGACCAGGATTCCTCCTGTTTTGTTCAGGACTCTGTATGTTCCAGCATCACTCGATGTGAAGTTTTTAATGGTCGGTCGGCCATTCTTGTCGGTCAGTCGATCAGTCAGGAAACCCTGCTCTCTTCTCCACACATCTATTAGGTCTGTGTTTGTAAAATGCTTGACGCTCTCAGCATCACGCGGCAGATAGTCAAACTTTACCTCTTCGCCTACCCGTGCTGTTAAATTGACTGAAGAGAAATAAAACATAATTGTGACATGAAGCTTTCATAATATTGATGATGGGTGGCATTACACTGGTGTAGGGCTGCCACTAATGAATATTTTTATTAATCTATCGACTAATTTATCGATTAATCTAAACGATTAATTTCCCACAAAAATCAACAATTTTACTTAAGAATATTTTATTAAACCAAATGAAATCCAAATTTCTATGAAATCCTTTTTTTAAAGCAAAAGTAAAGTGCAACAGAGTGCAAGAAGCAAGTGTCCATCTCATAGTCCAAATCACTGAAATCAAAGTTCAGTATTATAGTGCAAGAATGCCAACATATCCATGTGTTCTAATCTACTAATAATAAAATTATAATCAAAAAACACTTTTTAAAGGAGTATTTACCAGAAATTTTATTTAGGAGAATCAGAAAATAATGGAAAACAGAATTTGGTAAAGTTCAAAACTCAATTAATTAGACGAGCTTTTTGATTAATAAAATTTAATTTAACCATTAAAACAGAGTATAGAAAAATGAAAATGGAAAAAAACTAAATACAATAATTATATTTATTATAATTATAATAATTTTTTTTTGTGGTAATAAAAATAGATGTAAGTGAACAATAGCCTTTAAAATGACTTAAAATACATGTATAATAGCAATGAGGCAATAATAATTAGTTCAAATAAAGTATCAAAAGCAAGAAATCATATGGTTTTATTGAACAAAACTGTTAAAATACATAATGTATTATAAACAATAGAGCTAATGTACATTACGCATTACAACAAAGGCCTGCAGGGGGCGCCAACGGCCTGATGATTGTTTTTACACATTACTGTGCGATCTAATCCTTGTTTAATATTGACCAAGCACCATTTCATTCAAATGTCCACTTAATCTTTAATATTTGGCCATTTCTTTAGGACAGAAATGCTATAGCCACTGTAATTAAAAGAATATGTGGACATCAAACGTATAAACTCAGAGTGAGGGTTTGAGCTTTTATTTTGAAACCGCGATGCATTCTCCTGAGTTTGAGTAGATTTATAAATGATTTACCTTAAAAATCTGATCATCTTGCCTTCCCAGATGAACGTTATAATAAACCCAAACTCACAACAACATGCAGAGAGTTTGAGACGCTCCACATTATGCACTTTTTTTCACAGATAGTCGTGTTACCTGATTCTTTGAATAAACGTCCATTAGTAATATTTTGCTTGATGCGCCCTCTTGTGGCCTCAGGAGAGAAGCTAAAAGCTTTTCTTCACCCTAACTGCAATTATGCATTTTAAATTTGAATATAATTCGAATTTTGATAATATAATAAGTAAATATTTCAGCCATTTTGACAGCCCTAATGCATAGTTTAATACAAAGGGCCGAAAGCTAATCACACAGAGTACATTTTTCATTTAAAAACACGAGTTGCAGTGGGATGGGGAAAAAACCCTGCCATAAAGTCTCGAGATATGTTTTTTCAAAGTTGAACTTGCTTTAATTTTACATGGTTTTCTAAACATGCAGCACTTTTTTGCGAGACGCGAGTGCAACGGTTGGTTTCAGTTTTGACGTAAACAAGATCTTCTCTGCATTGATGTTCTCTTTTCGAGCAATATTTGTAATTAGCAACGCAGCAGCGCCGCAACTAGTGGCTTCAACTGGATAGGCTAACAAAAACATTATAATGCAATGCCACTTACATCGTCATCGCATATCGTGCACCAATGATAAGGCTGCCTCCTTAACGCACACCTAAAATTCAAATGCAACGTTTTTGCATTCGAATGTGGATTTTTATTTTAAATTTGACGAATATTCGAAATTCGAAAGATTTTTTGACAGTCCTACACTGGTGTAACATAACATGAAATAAACACTGGTACCAGATGAAAGCAACAAAAAGCCCAAATTAATATTTAAACCAGTTTTGACCTTACCATTAACATGGACGTCGTAACTGTAGCTTTTAGGTTGACCATTGGCATTGACATGCAACGTGTATTTCCCAGCATCAGTGGTCTTTAAGGGTTGTAGAATGAGGTCACAGTTGCCACTCTTGTGCACGCGGCCCCTGAAGTGTTCATTCTGATGGTTACCATAAGCAGTTGTGGACCCAAATACCAGAACAGTGGATAAATCCCCTCTGTAGCTTGAATTACACGGCAGGGTAATATAGCCGTCCTTTTGTCCCGTCACAGTTAGAGAAGAAGCACCTACAAATAAACACAGTGTTGAATCACTATACAGTATTGATACAAATGTGGTGATTATTAATCTTATTAATGTCACCAATCCAATTTACAAATCATTTTTCTTTATATTACACATACTCACGAGGCAAGAAAAACAGCAGAAAAAACATCAGGCACCTGATAAAAAAAAACAACAACAACAACATGGTGGTTATATGATCCTCAGATCTCACCTGAGGTAAGCAGAAACACTGACACTGTTTTACTGTTATCCAGCACTTCTTTACACCACATGAGAAGAAACTGCACACAAACTTCATTGGACCTTGTGTCTACCGTCAGTCTAATTAAATATTGAAAGTGAACAAGATTTGGCTTGTTACAGCACGCCTTACAATGCCTGTGAACCACTACTGAACAAACTCCTGTTCCAAGCAAGCCAGACGAGTCATGAAGACCAGTCAGTAGGGATGTAACTATTCACTCGACTCACGATTCACAATTTTTTTTTTTTTACAAAATGAGATTTAAGACAAATTATAAATTAAATGTGTCCTTTTATTATTGCTTGGACAAAATGCTGCAAGTTTCTTTGTGAAATTTAAATATAACACTATAATAATATACTAATATAGCACTTCCATATTGTTGCTCTTTTGTTGGTTTTGATTGCTTCTATTGTCCTCATTTGTAAGTCGCTTTGGACAAAAGCGTCTGCTAAATGACAAACATGCATTCATATAAACTCCTAACCCTAATAGGAATCGCGATTTGTTTAGCATCTCAACCGATTTGAATCGTCACATATTTGAATCGATTTTCAACCGGCTCGCGGTTAATCGTTACATCCGTACCAGTCAGAGTGGCTTTATCATCACTTTAGCTCTATGCAGCTGAATCAAAACAGTGCTCCTCCAGGACCATGCTGCTACATAACACTGGACTACAAAAACTAAGCCGTACAGAATTAAATTGTACTATATAGACTAGGGATATGCCGGCATCAAATTTTCATGTTGCGATTAATTGCTAATGCTTTTATCACGGTATGCGGTATTATCATGATATTGAAATTTCCACAATTTTTACATTCTTCAGGATGTTAACTTATAATTGGTTTGGTTATACTGTAGTTGTCTCTGCACACACTTTACCTTTAAGGCGCTATTTCTGTCTTTTATTTCTGCGACCTTTAGAAATGACTTTTCTTACCATGTCTATTCAACAATACCATATTTATTCAGCCATGCATATTAAATAAAATTTTCAAAGTTAATTTAGATTTTATCATGTGCCGTACAGATTACCTGACAAACATTATTCATAGGGAACATTAGGTATAGTCTTCGGAAAGTTAATTAGATCATCTCAACGCAATAATAACTGCAGATAAGGCTAAACTAGATTTCAGTGGACAACTAAAATTTAAAAAGAGATTGTAAATGCAAAATAATCCGTGTATCATTCGATCATTCGTTTTTTGATTTAATATTGAAAGTAGAAAAATTAGAAAAAGGCTCCTTTTTCATTTTTTTTGTTTTTTTCCAAAACATGAAAAACGAGAATTCAGCTTAAATTTTAGTTTTTCCTTCATGGGTGGAAAAATGAATAAACAGCTTGAATATTTGATTTCTACCCGTGGGCGGGAATTAAACGCCCCTTTCTGCTGATTGGTCAGCCGAAGATCAAACCGTGCCGTCATCAGTTCTTCTGCAGTATCATGATTATATTATATTTATTATATTTTATGAAAATCTTGCGTTGCAGTGCGAATCTTGCGTCCTCACGCTGCGCACAAGTGCATATCCTTTTGAGATATCAATTATAATCAATTTTAATAAAACACAAGACTACATTATATAACTCTAACAGTAGGCTATTTAATATCTGTTGTTCTCTGGTTGTCAGTCAGAATGACAGTTCTTGCGTGAACATAGGCCTATATATACCCAAGCCAATTTATTATTCTTTCCTTATGTCTTAGTGTTTAAAATATTTAATTTTAAACAAATTAATTAATTAAACAAACATACTTACTGGGTGAGCAGGGTAGGCTATGACAGCTGTCATATCATACCCTGCCATGCCCAGCTGATGCAAAGAATAGAATTTATATCTACACAGAAGAAAGCCCTGTCTAGACTCTGCCC